TGACTGAAGCCTAAAGAAACCTAGAGAAAGGCCTCAAGAAAACGAAAAGCAACAGCAGGAAAGAAAAACCAAACGGACCAAAAAAGTCACTCACGTTTCTCGCTCTCCTCCGGCCTGTGAATACTTAGCAGCATCAAGTAAAACCGCTTTCGGCACATCTTTGACTGAAACCCAAAGAAACCTAAAGACAGGCCTCCAGAAAAAGAAAAGCAACAGCAGGAAAGAAAAACCAAACGACCCAAAAAACCCACTCTCGTTTCTCGCTCTCTTCCGGCCTGTGAATACTTAGCAGCATGACGTGGACATATGAATACTTAGCAGCATGCGGGAATCCTGACTGGAATTTGATTTCAGTAAGCCCTGCGGCATAGTATCAGTAGTATCGTGCAAAGCAGTCAATCAAGGGGGTTGCAGAACGAAGTCTCAGTGCAGAGACGGAGCAATCAGGGTGGGTCCCCCACAGGATCTGGTTCTGTGCACATCACCACAGCCCTCACTGGAACTCTGTGGCGACACACACACACACACTTAGACGGTTGCTTGCAAGAGCTAAGTTCAGAGTGAAGTTGAAGTCCCACTTTAGAACAATACCAGCTGCATTGTAGACCTTGACTTGCAAACGGAAAGGTGAAAGAGCCCGCGTCACTTGAATGGTTTAACATTGGCAACGAATAGGCTTCCAAAGCTATTTTTAGGAAGTTTGCAGGTACGTGGAAATGGCGTCCTATTTTCATATCCTCGGATACATCGCTAGCTTCGTTGACCAGGCGACGATGTATCCTGCCGGGTCCCTTGCCTCTTTTTGCTCGCGCTGTTAAAATTGGTTTTACACGCTAGACATTGTATGCAGCCTTGGAAACAGGCTTTGACACACACACAGATTTTGTTGGGCACAGCTCAATGCTGGAGTTTCAGTTGAATGAGGCGCCCACCTCTGTGGCTATGGGTTCGCAACATGTGCCGGACCAGCAAACACAGCAGACGCCACAGATGCCGCAGCCGCAAATGCCGCAAATGCCCAACGGGCAAGCGCAGCAGATGTTTCAACAGCATGTGCCGCAGCAGATGCCCCAGCAGCAGCAGCAG